CATAACGATGTGTTATCTCAGAATATGTAAATAATCTGTCGGCTAGTACAAACTGTGCTCTCATTTACAAACTTTAGGAGAGTGATCTGTAAAAAGTGCCAAATCTACAGCCACTGACAGTGATTTTAAAGAACTGTGCTTTGTGTCTAAAAAATGAACACATACCTCAAAACATTTAGTCAGCGCATCAGTCACTCATCCCTCCTCACCTTCCCTGCTTGTTTCCACAATCAAAGGTAAGGCATTTGCCAGAAAAATACACAGACTCATTTTTATAAATTCAGGGGCAAAAACATCCCTTATATGGTTGCACACAGATCCCCCTTTCCCTTTATTTGGAGGAGAAGAAATGCACAGCAATTTGGAATACTAGAGGGCAAAACGGGCTGCATCGCTTTCCAAAATAAACTCTGAGATTCCCAATTCCACATTTCAGGCAAGTTTGTGCATAGCAGAGTGGTTAGTCACTGTGCAATTCACTTTGTGTTGACACAGACGAACTTCTGTTTAATTTCAGTTTTTTAATCTTAAAAACCTCTGCGTTTCCCACATCTTAATCTTGAAGCGGTGCCCTGTTAAGCTGGCATTTATGAATTGTTGTGAGAAAAATTTCCCATTTAAGTACTAAATAGTGCAATCCAAAGCAAGAAGACAAACTATGGAAATGGAAGTCTTTCTGGCAGTATTTATTGCAGTTCATGTTCCTGTGAGATTGTGTCCACTGCTGTGTACTTGTATGTTAGAGATGGAGAGGGAGCTGCTGAGCACTAAGTTACATCAGGAGGAGGAGAAGAGAGCGTCGAAAAGAAAAGGGGCTGGTGTTTTCCCCAAGGACGACTGATAAACCGTTTGGCAGGAAAGGCCTTGCAAATGACTGCATTCCTTGTTAACCTTGTAAGGCTATTTTTACCGCTAAAGGGCCTTTTGAGCGGGCACCTTTTGTTCGCCCTGCAGCATGAAACAGGAAAGACTGGTTTGCATTGTGACCCTCTGGGAGTTTGGCTCCGATCTCTGTCTCTCGTCACGATCCAACCATCCATCCTAATGCCGAGCCCTGTTTACGCAATGAATCTTCACCGCTCCCGACAGATGAACCCGGTACCTCTGCCGCACAGTTCACTGTAAAGCAATGCAAATAGGAAGCTGAGGCCGCGCACATATTTCATAATAAAGCTTAGATTACAAGAAGTAAAGTTGGAGGTTTTCCCAGGCAGTGTGCAAAGGCTCTGCCTGAATAATGAAAGCTGACTCCCCACTCCTCTGTCAAAGGGATGTTTGCTCTCTGCGTGTTTGTACATGTCTTTTATTGTGTTTTCAAGGGACATTCCACTGGTCAGAAATCCCCTCTGACTGTCCCTGGGAGGTGAAAGGCCCTCGAACAGGCCGTCTTCCTGTTGCCTGGCCAAAGAGTCCATCTAGTGTTTTGTAGTGTTTGAGCTGCAGCTCCTCAGGGATTCCTGGAAGTGAATGTGATCATGTCTTAAGAGGATTATAAGGGGGCCGTGGCTGTGTTGAGCCAGAGGTCAACATCGCTGTTATGGTGGGAATGACCTTGCTTGTCACTGTGCATCTGTCAGTGCGTCAGCGTGCACCGAAGTGACCGAGTTACTGTCGGCTTTCCTCTGCGGGGACCTGATTTCTTTACTTAGCGGAAATGAGAAGCTTGATTTTTTTTTTTCTTTAAACCTTGAGGGATTACACAGACCTAATGAACACAGCAAGATTTCTGTGGCTGATATCTCGACCTTGTTTACTAACAGAAGCCCATGTGCATGACAAAACTAAATACTGGGAAAGTACAGCTGAGGTAGAATTTGTGATGGGATTAAAGGAATACTTCACCCGCAAATGACCATTAGTATCAATTAATCACCCTATATTACTTTAGATTTGTAAGCGAAGAATCCAAAAACTGAGAAAATTCTTGATTATTTTAAAGTAAAACTATATCAAATCATCCATTTACAAACTCTAACACAACTTTTGCAGTATAATCCAAGTCTCATTTTTCCAGTCGCATGCGCAGTACTTCACAGACAGACCCTTGCTGATGGAGAACTAAACTAAAAGTGAAACTTATCTATGCATTATTCAAGGCCAGACTCCTTTGTCAAAAACTGTAATTTTACCTCACTGAACACAGGAGCTGCTGGTCTACCTCTGCCTCAACCAGTTAGTTTTTTTTACGTTAATTTGTGATTTCTAGGGATGCACCGAATATTAGGTAACCGAATATATTCAGCCGAATATTGCAAAAAAACACACATTCGGTATTCGGTGGAATAAGTTAAAAGCAAGGCCGAATAATAGTGGCGTGTTTTGATAACGCAATCAAACAGCGTGCCGTGACCAGCGGAGTGAAATGTCGGCAGTGTGGCGATACGCCCGTCACGGCACTCGCATTTGCGACTAAAAATAGTTTTGATACCGGCGACGGAGAAGTCAGCTCCAATAATATCCTCTTCTTGGCGTGTGGACTGCCCAGAAGTACCTGAACAGCCGAGCCAGCCGAACACAGGTATGTGATGTGTCAGAGGAGAAACGAGCCGTTCACGGTCCACAAACCTCACCGCACTTTAGGGACTGTTCTTTACTTATGAGGGGACTGTCAGGGGAGGAGGGTGGCTCATTGATTCTTATTTTATTTATTTATTTTATTTTGATCTCCCCTATGTTAATCACTGATTGATGCTGTTTTTGAAGTATGAATAAGTCAATAAGCAATTTATTCCATTGAAATATCATTGATGTATTATAGAAAAGTGATTTATCTTTTTATAAATGACAAAAGGCACATCTACCTCATTTTTGCTGTGGTATTGTGATACTACTCAGAACCATGAAATTTTCATTGGTATCGTACAGTGGGATCCAATTTTGGTACCGTGACAACACTAATCTGGAGGGGGTTCATCTGCAAAAACTAATGAAAAACTAAATAACAATATTCGGTACTCGTTATTCGGCCAAGTGTTTAATATGCTTCGGCCACAAATTTTCATTTCGGTGCATCCCTAGTGATTTCAGTGAAGCCGAATTAACCCTTTGACACACCAGAGTCACACAATATCAGAAACAAACTAACTGATGGAGACCAGCAGCTCCTGTGTTCAGTGAGGTAAAATTACTGATTTTGTCAATGGAGAGAGAGCATAGATAAGCTTCACTTATGATTCAGTTCCCCATTGGAAAGGGCTGTCTGTTTAGGAAGCACTGAGGATATGACTGGATACATGACGCTTGAATTATACAGCAAAAGTTGTGTTTTGATATAGTTTTGCTGTTGTTGAACTGTTGTGGACCCCTTTGACTTCAATTCATCAAGAATTTTTTCCATTTTTGGATTATTTATTAAACGATAAATCGATTCTTTAATAAACGGCTGAGTTAAGGCTGGGCGACATGGACAAAAATTCATATTGCAATATTTACAGGCTGACTGGCGATACACAATATATATGTTGGTATTTTAACGAAATGGGTGACATGTTTTCAGCTGCAAGTCAAAGCCACGTTTGAGATGTCACAAGCACTTTTATAAAAACAGACTGTGATCAAAATAAAGTGCAAAGACAGGGATTTTATTACCCTGTTTGAAAATATACAGCTGCACAACAGTTACACCTCCAAAACACTATTTGGCGGTGGGGTTTCTGTGAAGTGCTGTAAAGTTTAGTTGATTTAAAACACACATTAAACATGGCTTAATAGAGACAATTTTAAACACAAGTACACAAATCAGCTTCACTATAACTGGCAGCATTCACAGACAAACACTTGTCTTTATCTGGACACATTTTCCCCACAAATACAACATGCTAACGTTATTAGCACAAGCCTATGGCATTTTACATTGTATAAATTAGCCTAGCACCTAGCAAACTTTTCCTCTACTCATATGAAGCCAGGGACAACAGCAACATTTAACGTTTCATAATGTGGCTCCATTACAGCTCACAGGGTCCACTGACAAAACAACTGTCTTATACTAAACACGTTTTCAAAACAAATATAACAAGCTAACGTTATTAGCACAAGCCTATGGCATTTTACATTGTATGAATTAGCCTAGCGACGAGCAGAGATTTCCTCTGCTCATATGAAGCCAGGATAAATCACACACAAGACTTAAAATACTATTTTTGTGGAAGCTTTATTGTCTTCACAATTTATTGTTTCTTATCTGTGAAATTTAAGTAAATAAAAACTTTGTTTCGACTGAGGGAAATGGTTTCAGCTTACAAAAACACACACTGGTATGCGTTACGTAACGCAAATTGACCCTATATCAATATAAACGGTGTTGTCTAAATTTATGTCTTGCTTGAAAATATATGGGTATATCGTACATAGCTGTTATATCGCCCAGCCTTTGGGTGAGTAATTTAGATACAAATGGTCATTTCGGGGGCAAAGATTCCTTTAAAGGGAACATCAACGCACACGGCTGTGCATCTTTGTATTCAAAATAATAAAACTGAAAAAAACTGAGACTGAAACTGACACTAGAATAAAAATAAGTCACTTGTGATACATTCTCATGGCAAGGAAAACTGCTCTCTGACAAATATAACACTAAGTATGTAACACTTAAAACAAACCAACCATGGTTCAGAAATATGACCTGGTTAGTGAAGGAATAGATGACTGACAAGCTGCATGTAAACCCAAATTTCAGAGTAACCGTGAGCCTGTTTCACAGAAGTGATTTTCCAGCACAAGAAATTGTGGCTGTGTCTCATTTCACAAATCATTGCTGACAAATGCACGAGTCCTACAGCGCTCCTGCATGCATATGTATGGGCTGCAAGTACGCCATTTGTTTTGATTAGAGAAAAGTGTCAAAAACGTGTTCTCTGATTTCTCCCTGGCCTAATCTGGTTTCTCCCTGTAACCTGATTCATTGTGTGTGTGCATATAAAAACATCTCAGTGACTGTACTCCCTCCAGTCGAGGCTGATCTAAGCTCATCTATCATTCTTTTCTTCCTCTTCTCTCAGAGCCTGGATGAGCTGGACGACGACGACGCAGGGGAGAAGAACAGGAGGGAGGAGGAGGAGCTGGTTCAGGCCAACACTTTCCAGAACGAGGCCATGATGGCTGACCCTGCCACCGGCCACTTAATGGTAAGAAATGACACTGGAGGAGGAAGGAGGGGAGAGCTACACACTCATATTTTCTCACTTCTGGGACATCTAGCAGTGTTTTGGTTTATTTTGCCCAGGTTTTGGGTTTATAGAGAGGTCATTCAAATCTAAAAAAGGCTATCAGCATCAAAGATTACATCCAACATAAAGTCTCTGCAGTACTGTCTGTGTATTCCAGTCTTTAGTGTCTGGAATAGACTCATATAATATTCTATTTTTCCTCTACTCTGAATTCAAGCAGACTGTTGTACAGACTGATACATGGGTGCTGCCAAACAGAGGCACTGTTGCTCAGGGAGACAACCAGAGAGCTCGGGAGCAGAGGTTGTGTGAAAAGCTGCAGTGATGCAAAACCCAAAGGTGTCTCGGCATTTCATCATCACTGTGAAATCAGCTAAAAGCAAAAAAGAAAATGCTGTTAAAGCTACTCTGGGAGATGGTTTCTCACAGGTCGGGGGCCTTTGGTTTTGGTGGTGTCAAATTCTTATCCATAAAACTGGTTGATCTTAAAAAGCAGCTCATGTGACTTTGTAGAGAGATGGAGTTTGCTTGTAACAATGTAAGCTACTGATACTGATCGACTGAAATGGGACGTACAAAAAATGTGAACATCATTTGATCATAGTCATTTTTCAAACTAAAACATGAAATATTCAATAGCTTCAGTTTCTGTAATATGAGGATTTGCTGCTTCTCACAGCTTGAGTTCATTATAAATTGAAAGTCTTTGGATTTTGGACCATCAAAGGTATTTTTTTACACAGAACACAAATAATTCTTGCAAATAAATCACCTGTCAATTTAAAAATTTGAGCCCATCTATGGCCCTTTTACAGAGAGATCGCACTAGAGGTTACACAGAGCCACATAATGGCAGCATCATTCTGCTCCAGTGTGTGATTATAGGCCGCATCCCTGCAGCGTGGAATCAAAAGAGGCTTGATGGATGTGACACTTGCACAACAGTGCGGCCTCTAGTGTGACATAAAACATACACGTCAGCAGCTCTTTACAAACCTAACAATGGTATAACATGACAACAACAGTCATTTATCGTCTCTTTTATATTATAAATATATGGCAGCTGATCTCATCTCGAGTGTAAGGAGCTCCCGGACCTCATTGTTTCCCATATTTGCAGATATTTACAGCCACTGTTCTTCCTCTTTGAGTTAGCTGCTAACTGCTAACCGCTACACATAAGATGTCATCAAAAAGTCACACCCGTGCTGCCCATGGTCCCATCCTGTCGGGTGTCCTGCTTTTCCTTTCCTTTCTTTTCCTTTCCTTTCCTTTCCTTTCCTTCAATTCCGTTCTTTTCTGTTCCTTTCCTTTCATTTCCTTTCCCTCTCCTCTCCTCTCCTCTCCTTTTGTTTCCTTTCCTTTCCTTTCCTTTTCCTCTCCTCTCCTCTCCTCTCCTCTCCTTTCCTTGTATTTCCTTTCCTTTCTTTTCTTTTCTTTTCTTTTCTTTTCCTCTCCTCTCCTCTCCTTTTGTTTCCTTTCCTTTCCTCTCTCCTCTCCTCTCCTTTCCTTTCCTTTCCTTTCCTTTCCTTTCCTTTCTTTTTCTTTTCTTTTCTTTTCCTCTTCTTTCCTCTCCTCTCCTTTCCTTTCCTTTCCTTTCCTTTCCTTTCCTTTTCTTTCCTTTCCTTTCTTTTTCTTTTCTTTTCCTCTCCTTTCCTCTCCTTTTGTTTCCTGTGTGAAAAGGCCTTTAGACAAAAGAAGCCATTTGAAGATTTACCTTAGAATTCTTTTACAAGCTAAATGAGTGATCAGTCAATCAAAGTATCAATATAATCATAGATAATGAATATAATCATCAGTAGCAGAAACAAAGCAGTATCATTTACATCACATGCTGCTCAGTGTTTCTCTGTGTGTCTCTGGACCACAAGCTTAAAAGCCACATTCATCAAACTCCACCTTAGGGCCAGTGTCAGGATCTGTGTCATGTATAAGGTGTCTGGTTCAGTGACTGACGCTGTCGACAGACCGAATCTTTTACTCTTGGAAAGCATATCTATGTTTATTTGATAAAAGTGAACCCATGCAGAGAAGGTCTGCTCTTCCCCCAAATAAGTCCAGGAGGCGTCTGCAGAGTCAGGACATAAAAAAAAAGGAAAACCAAGTCAGAAATGACACGCTCGTAATTTGAATCTTTTCATTTTGTGGAGAACAGCGGTTCATATTCAGTAGTGCCGTGTTTGTAATTTCCAACTCACTTCAAATACACAGTGATTTTCAATAAGAAACTGAGCACAGGCAGGATATGAAAAGCATCCAGCTGTGTAACAACGACTCAAACCTCCACTCTGTTTGTATTTCTGTAAAACATCATCTGATTTACATGAAAATTGCTATTTGAAATACATAAAAAAAAAAACAAATCAAATGGCGCTGCTGCCGCTGAGTGACATCTCTTGTGGATGTAGTTAACAGTTGCGTTCCAGATGGATCGGCTGTTATGCATCAGCAGGCTTATTTTGTTTTGGGCTGCAACCGTCTGAGGCTGTTTAGGCAAAATGAGGGCCTGTGTATGAAATATGTACACAAACACCACACTGACAGGAAGATTGTGACAGCACCTGCTGAGAGGTGGCCCGGATAGAAAATGAAAAGCCAAGGATTTGACTATTTATATGAGGTAGTCGACGCATAAACAGACAACAAGCAATTCAGCGTGATGTATTCTCTACATACGAACATTTATAGTGAGAGATTCCCAGTTCTTACCGTCACGACATGCAGCCTAACGCACACCAGATGTGGTTATGCAGAAACTAACCATTAGATGTCCCACTGTCACTCATAAAGAGGCAGACTAGGGAAATAAAAGAGCCTGAGAGGTCCAGTGTGGTCAGTGGAGCTGTCAGTTAGACATCTGTAAAGATGGAGCATCCCAAAAATGTGCCGCTCCCCCTCTCGGGCCCCATTTATCAACGGGAGACAAGCAATTGCCGTGTCAGGGCCGTTATGATATACAGCGTCCAGTCGGGCCTCTTAGCTGGTATCAAGATATCTGGACAAAAAGTTTTTAAAGAGGAACTCAGTTCAAGAGCTGCAGGGTTGTTAACAGTCTCCCCGGATCTCAGAGCTTCTCCCAACCAAAACAAGCTGTAACTCTTCTGTGTTAGCTGATGAGGACATAATGGAAACTCCACGACGGGTCCTGGATATGAAATATTTTATCAGATGTTTGAAATTCTGCAATGATGCCCTTTTTCCATCATTTCTGCACTCTTAGAAATAAGGGTTTCAAAGGGTTCCTCCTGAAGGGCTCAGGTTCTACCCAGAACCATTTGCTTCTGAAGACCCCTTTTTTGAAGAGAGTGTTCTCGTAGGGTTCTTGATAATGCTAATGCCAAGTTCAGACCAAAGATCCGTGACGAGACGAGCTGAAACATGTAACTTCTAGGGCTGTACCCAAATATTCGGATATTCGAATATTTGTTTCTATGGGTAGGTATTCCTTATGAAAATTTGGTATTCGATATTCGTTTTTTTTTTTTTTTTTAGTATTAGGCTATTATTATTATTTTTTTTACATATTTTTTGGTGCTAAATGTAGTCTTTTTGTTGTTGGTAAATGTAGGTTATCAATAAAAATCAAAACTTTTAAATTGCATTGTTAAAAATGTGAAAATATAGTATCGCCTACCAACTGCGCTTGTGCGCACGGCAGGCTTGAGCGCATCCGTCTGAGGCTGTGGATCAATGCCAAGTTTTACCACTTTATCACTATTCCCTCTAACTTGTAGCTGTTTTTTCGTTATCTTTTGAATTTAATATGAATTATGGAACCATTTTTGTCAACGTTTGTTTCCCCCGTTTTGTACAATAAATTATTGTTTAAAGTTTCAACAAGTTTCTTTTGGAGTGTGTGACACAAGTGTGTTTTGAAAACGACCGCGGACTGTCACCTGCTCAACGCATCAGTACCTTCGGATGCCATGACAGTAATAGACAATAATGTCAAAATATCATTTACAGACCGATTTAACAGACGATCAGTGCTGCCCGACGCGCAGGTCCATTTGCGGGTCCCGCGGGTTACGGGTCGACCCGCGCATCACTACTCAGCTCAGTCTATAAAGGCTGTACACAACAGTAGACATTATATTCTATTCAGGCTGGCAGAACCAGCAGCACATCGGCTCTACAGTGCACGGCACTGCTGATTAACCATTTTATTGCAGCACAGAGTGTCTGCCAGCAACCAATTACTTGCAGAGGCTTCCTACAACTTGTTTCAACGGTTCCGATTTAGTCAGAAGACAAATTAACAGGATGACTAGCCAATGTGAAAATCAAAAGAAAGCCTAGAATAATGTACTGAAGGAGACTGTTGTGCCATCACATTTTTTTGTGGTTTGAGAGCAAAGATCCGGTCGCAGCTGTGCAAAACTCCGCAATACAATTAGGTCCGAAAAAAACCCGGAGGAGTGCTTCGCAAGGAGTCTTTGAAAGGAGCCGAGCCTGGCGTAAAACCGGAGAGAGCAGGCAGCACGACCACAGCCGTGAACGAATATTCGAATATTCCTTATAAATTCTGCCGAAGGTCCGAATGTTAAAAAATGGCATTCGGGACAACCCTAGTAACTTCTCACAATGCCCCGTTCTGCGACATTCTAAAACGCTTTCATCTCATTGCGAATCTTTGGTCTGAACCAGGCTTGAGTGTTCCATTAAGAAGCTTTTTCGTCCAAAGGATCCTTTTTTGAAGACAGTATTCTTCTAGGGTTATTTTGTAAGACTAAGGGTTCCATTAAGAACCCTTTTTATCCCAAAAAAACTTCTTCAGAACAGTTTTCATCTAAAGAATCCTTTTTGGAAGAAAGAGTTCATAAAGGGTTGTTAAAAGCGTGGGTGTTAAAGATCCTCACCCTTAAATATTCTCATTGCCCATGTTTTAAATGGCATTTTTAAATGTAGATGTATCTGACATCCTCTTAACCAGTTCATTTTACTTGTCTTCTGCCATT